TTGTAATTGTTGTATTTAAAAAAATATATATGGTTTTGGGAGGAGATTTCCACTGCACTACTCACACTGTCATCTTGGTTCCACCTCTTGAGTTTACTTTTGTGTATGGGTTTAGACAGTGGTCCAGTTTCATTCTCTTACATGTAGCTGTCCAGTTACCAACACCACCTGTTGAAGAAGCTGTCATTTCCCCATTGTATGTCCATGGCTCCTTTATCATATATTAATTGTCCATATATGGTTCAGTTAATATCTGGACTCTCTATTCTGTTCCACTGGTCTGTGGGTCTGTTTTTGTGCCAGTACCAAATTGTCTTGATTACTGTGGCTTTGTAGTAGAGCTTGAAGTTGGGTAGTGAGACCCCCCCTCCCCACACACACTTTATTCTAGCTTTTCAGTCTATTTGGGGTCTTTTGTGGTTCCATATGAATTTTTGAACTATTTGTTCCAGTTCATTGAAGAATGCTGTTGGTATTTTGATAGGGATTGCATTGTCTCTGTAGATTACTTTATGCAGAATGGCCATTTTGATGATATTAATTCTTCCTAGCGAAGAGCATGGGATGAGTTTCCATTTGTTAGTGTCCTCTTTAATTTCTCTTCAGAGTGTCTTGTAGTTTTCAGGTATAGGTCTTTCACTTCCTTGGTTAGGTTTATTCCTGGGTATTTTATTCTTTTTGATGCAATTGTGAATGGAATTGTTTTCCTGATTTCTCTTTCTGGTAGTTCATCATTAGTGTATAGGAAAGCGACAGATTTCTGTGTTTTAATTTTGTATCCTGCACCTTTGCTGAATTTAGATATCAGTTCTGGTAGTTTTGGAATGGGATCTTTAGGGTTTTTTATGTACAATATCATGTCATCTGCAAATAGTTACGGTTTGACTTCCTCTTTACCAATCTGGATGCCTTGTATTTCTTTCTTTTTTTTTTTTTTTTGTCTAATTGGCATGGCTAGGACCTCCAGTACTATATTGAATAACAGTGGGGAGAGTGGGCATCCCTGTCTTGTTCCTGATCTTAGAGGAAAAGCTTTCAGCTTCTGGCTGTTAAGTATGATGTTGGCTGTGGGTTTGTCATATATGGCCTTTATTATGTTGAGGTCCTTGCCCTCTATACCCATTTCGTGAGAGTTTTTATCATGAATGGGTGTTGGATTTTGTCAAATGCTTTTTCAGTGTCTATGGAGATGATTATGTGGTTTTTGTCATTTTTGTTTATGTGGTGGAGGATGTTGATGAATTTTTGAATGTTCTACCATCCTTGCATCCCTGAGATGAATCCCACTTGGTCATGGTGTATGATCGATCCTCTTGATGTGCTTTTGAATTCGGTTTGCTAATATTTTGTTGAGTATTTTTGCATCTATGTTCATCAGTGATATTGCTCTGTAATTTTCTTCTTTGTGGTGTCTTTGCCTGGTTTTGGTATTAGAGTGATGCTGGCCTCATAGAATGAGTTTGGAAGTATTCCCTCCTCTTCTATTTTTTGGAAAACTTTAAGGTGAATGTGTATTATGTCTTCTCTGTATGTCTCATAAAATTCCTCAGTAAATCCATCTTGTCCGGGGGTTTTGTTCTTGTGTAGTTTTATGATTACCCCTTTAATTTCATTGGTGGTAATTTGTCTGTTTACATTTTGTGTTTCTTCCTTGGTCATCTTGGAAGGTTGTATTTTTCTAGGAAGTTGTCCATTTCTTCCAGGTTTTCCAGCTTGTTAGCATATAGATTCTCATAATATTCTCTAATGATTATTTATATTTCTGTGGGATCCATCATGCTTTTTCCTTTCTCATTTCTCATTCTGTTTATGTGTGTCGATTCTCTTTTTTCTCTTCATAAATCTGGCTAGGGCCTCATCTATTTTGTTTATTTTCTCAAAAGACAATCTCTTGGTTTCATTGATTTTTTTCTATTGTTTTATTCTTCTCAATTTTATTTATTTCTTCTCTTACCTTTATTATGTACGCCCTTTGCTGACTTTGGGCCTCATTTGTTCTTCTTTTTCCAATTTCAATAATTGTGACTTTAGACTACACATTTATGATTGTTATCCCTTATTTAAATAGGCCTGGATTGCTATATACTTTCCTCTTAGCACTGCCTTCACTGCATCACACAGAATTTGTGTCTTTTTCTGTTTTGTCATTTGTGTCCATATATTGCTTGATCTCTGTTTTAATTGTCATTGATTCATTGATTATTTAGGAACATGTTGTTAAGCCTCCATGTGTTTGTGAGCCGTTTTGTTTTCTTTGTACAATTTGTTTCTAGTTTTATGCGTTTGTAGTCTGAGAAGTTGGTTTGTAGAATTTCAATCTTTGAATTTAGTGAGGCTCTTTTTGTCACCTAGTATGTGGTCTATTTTGGAAAATGTTCCATGTGCACTTGAGAAGAATGTGTATACTGCTGCTTTTGGGGTAGAGTTCTGTAGATGTCTGTGAAGTCTGTCTGTTCTAGTTTGTTGTTCATTGCCTCTGTGTCCTTACTTATTTTTTGTCTGGTGTATCTGTCCTTTGGAGTGAGTGGTGTGTTGAAGTCTCCTAAAATAAATGCATTGCATTCTATTTCCTCCTTTAGTTCTGTTAGTATTTGTTTCATATATGTTGGTGCTCCTGTGTTGGGTGCATATATATTTATGATGGTTATATCCTCTTGTTGGAGTGTCCCCTTTATCATTCTGTAATGTTGTTCTTTATCTCTTGTTACTGTCTTTGTTTTGAAGTCTATTTTATCTGATACTTGTACTGCAACGCTTTTTTCTCTCTCTATTGTTTGCATGAAATATCTTTTTCATCTCTTGACTTTTAGTCTGTGTATATCTTTGGGTTTGAGGTGAGTCAGTTGTAAGCAGCATATAGATAGGTCTTGCTTTTTTATCCATTCTATTACTCTGTGTTCTTTGGTGCATTTAGTCTACTTACGTTTTGGGTGATTATTGAAACATATGTACTTATTGCCATTGCAGGCTTTAGATTTGTGGTTACCAAAGGTTCAAGCATAGCTTCTATACTATCTGTCTCCCTTAACTCACTTATTAAGCTAATATAAACACAGTTTGATAATTATTTATTTCTCTCCCTTCTTATTCCTCCTCCTCCATTCTTTATATGTTTGGTGTTTTATTCTGTATTCTTCTGTGGTTCCTTTGACTGCTTTTGTGAGTTGTTTATTATTTTTTTTGCCTTGAGTTAGTATTTAGTCGGTCTGCTTTCTTTGCTGTGATTTTATTTTCTCTGGTGACATCTATTTCACTTTAGGAGTGCTTCCATCCAGCGCAGTACTTTTAAAATATCCTGTGGAGCTGGTTTGTGGGAGGCAAATTCCCTCAACTTTTGCTTGTCTGGGAATTGTTTAATCCCTTCTTCAGATTTAAATGATGATCATGCTGGATATAGTATTTTTGATTCAAGGCCCTTCTGTTTCATTGCTTTAAATAGATCATGCCATTCTCTTCTGGCATGTAAGTTTCTGTTGAGAAGTCTGATGATAGCCTAATGGGTTTTCCTTTGTTGGTGACCTTTTTTCTCTGTCTGACTTTACTACTCTGTCCTTTTCCTTGATCTTTGCCATTTTAATTATTATATGTCTTGGTGTTGTCCTCCTTGGGTCCCTTGTGTTGCTAGATCTGTGTGCTTCTGTTGTCACAGTGGCTATATCCTCCCCCAGTTTGGGGAAGTTTTCAGCAATTTGTACTTCAAACACACTTTCTATCCCTTTTCTGTCTCTTCTTCTGGTACTTCTATAATGCAGATATTGTTCCATTTCGATTGGTCACAGAGTTCTCTTAATATTCTTCCATTCCTGGAGATCCTTTTATCTGTCACTGCCTCAGCTTCTCTGTGTTCCTGTTCTCTGATTTCTATTCCATTCATGGCCTCTTGCACCACATCCAGTCTGCTCTTAACTCCTTTCGGAGATTGTTTTATTTCTGTATTCTCCATCCTAACTTGATTCTTTAGCTCTTGCATATTTCTCTGCAGGTCCATCAGCATGATTATGACCTTTATTTTGAATTATTTTTCAGGAAGATTGGTTTAATCTATCTTCCCGGCTCCCTCTCAGCGGTTTTCTAGATAATTCTGTACTAGATAAAATTTTTCTCCCTTTTCATGGTGATACAGGTAGTCATAGGCAGTTGGTGCATGTGTCAGCTGGGAAAACAAAGTCCCTTCCTGCTTGCTGTTTGCCTTGCCCTTCCCCACTGCCTCTGCCAGTTACCCGCACATGGGGAGCAGCCTCTGGTTTTATTCCCTGAGCTGCCATGGCCCGGGCAGCCTTTGTGGCAGCCCAGAGCCGTGTGGGGAGTGGCAGGCATGCTGGGTGTGCTCTCCTGTGAGCACAGCAACCCTTCACATGCTGTCCCAGCTTCCTCTGTCTGTCCCGGGTAGCCGTTCACTGGCAAGGCCTCTGAGTCTGGCCCTGGCAGCTGTGGAGGAAGCTCTGCATGGCTGGTGTGATTGCGGCTGCTCTCAGGTTCCTCCCCTGCTGTGGCAGGGCCACACCATAGTGGGAATGGATGGGAGACTCTTCATTGCTTTGCGGGGCTTTAGAGCTGTGCTGCTGCCCAGGGGTTTAGGGTGCCCGAAGTTCCCTGGGATTCCCAGCCTGCTCCGAGTGTGCTTAGACGATTCCATCTAGCTGTGAAGCCCCTGTCCCTTTAAGAGTTTCAAAAAGCACTCACTTTTCTTTTGTCCCAGGGGAGCCAGCTTTGGGACTTGCTTGCAGATTTTACTTTTCCGATTCCCTAATATCCAGCACACCATGCACTGTGTGTCTGCACTCTCAGTGCAGATGATTAGGGCTGGGTATTTAGCAGTCCTGAGCTCCCACTCCCTCCCCACTCTGACTCCTCTCCTCTGCCCAGTGCGCTGGGGTGGCGGGAGTGCTCGGGTCCCACCGGGTCGTGACTTCTATCTTTCCCCTTTCATGAGATGCTGAGTTCTCGCAGATATAGATGTAGCCTGACTGTTGTACTGTGTCTTCTGTTCTCTCTTTTAGGAATAGTTGTATTTGTTGTATTTTCAAAAATATATCTAGTTGTGGGAGGAGCTTTCCACTGCCCTGCTCATGCTGCCATCTTGGCTCCTCCTGGCTCAGGTACAGATCATTTTTTTTACATGTTTTTGAATTATATGATCTTGTCACAATATACTGGTTGGTAATGATAATGAACCATGCATTTATTATTAAAGCTCTTATGTTACAGAAATCCTCTGAAACTTTTAGAATAACTCTAATGGAAAAATTTTTCACTGTCATTATAGTGACAGTAATTCACTATATTTAATTATTGTCACCCATTATTTAAACATACAAATATATGAAACATACAGAAAAAGCTTATGATATTGAGGATTCCTGGGGATCCCATTTCTTGTTTTTGCATCCTCAAGATTTAGAAACACCACCTAAGACACTGATTTGATCCAAAAGATAAGGTTAAGGATACCAGTAGGAAAATGACCTCCTGCGTGGGATCACCTCGCCTTCTTTCTTCTCCTTCCTGGGATGGAACTAATGACATGTGGAAATGTAGATGGAATATGAATCACAAAACCTAAAGGATGGTCTCAGATTTCTTTCTCAAGAAGGAGTGAATCAACGCCTCTTCATCATGATGGGCAAAGTGGGCTGACCTAGGGTGCCAGAGTCGGGTGGTTGGTTGGAAGTAGCTGAGTGGGGCTGAGCCTCAGGGGACGCTGTGCAGTTGAAGGCCCATGGAAGTGCATCAGGGAAATTCAGAAAGACTTTTCAGCGACCTTTGCAAAGCTTTCTGCCATGGATCTCATTCCGAGTGGTTAACTGAGTAACAATCAACTTAGAAAACAAAGTCACATTTTAGCATTGCCATGGCTGTTTTAAGAGTTACCAATCATTTTTAAAGAATATTTAAATACACACTTTTTCCATTTTATTTCAATCTGAGTTGCTATTCATTCTGAAAGGATTCTGGGGATATGTCAGCACCAGCAGTTTGCCCTAGTTCTGATTCCTATGCCAGGACAAAGGAAATACTGTACAATTACTTCTTTAATAGAGCAAGACTGATAGGCAAGTAGGCCAGTGGAACAGCACAGAGTTCAGAAAGAGACCCATATGCAGCCAGTTGATTTTTTCAGCAAAGGTGCCAAGATAAATCAATGGAGGAAAACCAGTCTTTTCAAAATAAGAAGCTGAGTTAACTGGGTCTCGGTTGGCTGAGCCAGGGGAGGTAACTTTGATCCCCATTTCACAGCAAATACATAAATTATAAAACAAAAAACAAATCAGACTTAACTGTTGTAAAACCAAAACCAAAAATTTCAGAAGAAAAATAGGAAACTTTGTGACCTTTGTTAGGGTGGGCAAAACCTTCTGTTAGTCTATTCAGGCTGCTATAACAAAACACGATGGACTGGCTCACTTACAAACAAGACAAGTTTAGTCCTCACATGTCTGGAGGCTGGAAGTCTGAGATCAGGGTGCCAGTTTGGTTGGGTGAGGGCCCCCTTCCACGCCTCAGACTTCCGCATCCTCACGAGGCTTAAGGGCAAGGGAGCTAGCTCTCTGGGGCCTCTGTTCCAAGGACACTAATCCCATCTGTGAGGGCTCCACCCACAGGACCCAATCACCTCCCGGAAGCCCCACCTTCTACTATCATCACCTTGGGCACTAGGATTGAACATAGGAATTTGGGGGCACACAAACATTCAGACCATAGCAATTTCTTAGGACAAAAAAAGCACTTTTCATAAGATAAAAAAAGTTTTGATAAGTGGACTTAAAGATAATTACAAATTTCTCCTCTTGAAAAGATACCATTTTAAAAATGGAAAAGCAAGGCATGGGTAGGACAATATATTTGTAACACATAACTGACAAAGGGTGCGTATCTAGAATATTTAAAGAACTCTTACAGCATAATAATGAAACAAACCTTTTTTTTAATGGGCAAAGATTTTAAAAGACACTTCAATTATTTACAAGGAGATACCACTTAGAAACACCAGGATGGCTAAATTTAAAAGATAGAATAAGCAGTTTAGAGAGAAAGCAGAACAAATGGAACATTCTGAGAGAATATAAAATACATAACCACTTCAACAATTAGATAGTTTTCCTTAGTGAATGTGCACACATATACCTATGACCTAGCAATTTCATACCTTCGTATCTACTGCAGAAAAATTAAAACACATGACCACAAAAAGACTTATTCACAAATGTTCATATCAGCTTTATTCATGATAGACACAAATGTTTATTGGAAACAACCTCAGTGTTTCTCAGCAGGGGAATGGATAAACAAATTGTGGGACAGTCATTCAATGGAATACTCACAGTAAAAATGAATTAAAGACATAAACGCAGCAGTGTGCATGAACCTCACAGACATATATGTTGAATAAGAGACTTGGCACAAGAGAGCATTTATTATATGGTTCCATTTACAAAGTCTAGAGCAGGTAACAGTAATCTATAAATATAGAAATTAGATGAGCCTGTTGCCTGGCGTGTAGTGGGATATAGTTTACAAGGGGCACAAGAAAGCATTCTGTGGCTGTGGAAATACTCTGCAGCTTGGCTGGGATAGTGGTTACATGGATGTATGTATCCATTTGTCACAATTTGTTGAACTGTATGCATAAAATATGTACATTTTATTGCATGTAAATTATACTTCAATACAGTTTAAAAATAAGAACATGCCAATGTAGTATTGTTTATCAGAGCAAAAGGAGGAAACAAACTCAGTATTCAACAGTAGCAGTACAGATAAATAAGATAGAACATTATTTTTGAAGTGAAGAGATAATTCAAAATAAAAATAAGAACATGCTGAAATTGTTTTTTAAAAAGACTAAAATATTGTTAGCATGTGGTTTTATATAGATGTTTAAGAAAGCGTTTGTCAATTTATGAGGAGTTGTTCTGTATATCTAGGGTGCTTTATTAAATTTCTAGGAGGCAATTCAGCGAACCTGTCATGAATAATTTAATTTTGTACCTAATAGTTCAGTTAGACCCAGAAATAATGAGGTAAGCCTCATTCCCTCAGGGAAACATTTCTTACCATCTATAGTTTTCAGTTTCATTTGAATATATTATATTTTTTAAATACCAGTTTTATTACATTTATTTCTCTGCATGTGCAGAGAGAGGCTAATGTACTTGGCGTCTTAATTAAGCCACAAGTGCCTTAAAAACATGAGTATGTCTATTTTGGATCTATTTTCAAACAGTAACTTCCCTACCCAGTGTGAATCATAAGGACGCACTTCTGCCCACGTCCTCAGCCCTCAGTCATCTGTCATTTTTACGTCGTCGTTTTGTCTGCTTTGTGTCTTGGTGTCTTGCAGATGAACAGTTGGCATCTGATTTTCACTTGTCACATTCTTTGAGGAAAAGCATAAACTTTGATTAAGTCACCTTAATTAAGTTAAATCAAAGTCACCTTTGATTAAGTTCAGGCCACTTTCTCGGGGTTACAGCGTACAGTACGGGGAAGATTCAACTGCAGGGATGTAAGCGTTGTGTTGGAAAAGGCCTGTCCCGGCTGCTCTGCTTCAGACCCTTCAGCCACCATCAAGTGCTTTTTCAGAGGCGGTAGGCAGAAGTATTTTTAAAAGACAGAGGTCATAGAGCGGGTGATTGGGGGAGGGGCCATGATTACTGAACCATCAGCTTTGTTTTTATGTGTCACAGATTGTTCTTTAAAGAGTAAAAGTGATTCTGTTGAAAAACAAATGGGAAGTTCTTAGAGGATTTATAATTCTTGAAACCCTTCTTGCTGACTTTTTAGTTTAATAGTAACATGAATAGTTTTTTTCAATTAAAAATGCCCAACAGTTTAAAATATTTTCAAATACTGCATCTCATATGACCTACACAGTAGCTCACTGCATTATCAGGGAAAGTATTGTTTCCATTTTTTAATAACTAATGTGCAAGGCTGAATTCAGGTTTGGTTATATTACATTACTTTCATTCCCTTGTATCTCCTGTATATCTGAACTCAGCTTTTTGACTAATATAAATTAAGTGATCTAATTAGTGCACTTGGGCCCTGATCTGGTTTATCTAAGTGGACAACTAACATTGAGTTAGTTTAACTTTTGTGACATTTAGTCTTCAGTGTTTCTGGAGTAAAGATTTGATATCTTCTTAGAAAATAAACTGTAAATAGCTTTGTAAGCAGGTTCTATTTGAAATAACACATCATCTGAATATAGTCCTCTGCTTTTTCAGTTATTGCTATGAGAAAAATCAAAGTTCCTAAGAATTATGTTAATAGAGCCTCTCCATGTCACTGTGCTGTCTCCTGAAATTTTCAAACTGTTGGTTTTGGGGGAAAGTCAAGAAAATAGAGTCTTAGATTCTAATGCTGAAAGGATGTTTAAAACACTTTGAAAAGTTATAGCAGTCCCCCTGTTATCTGCTGCTTCTTTCTAAGGTTCAGTTACTTATGGTCGCCACAGGCCAGAAGCAGATGCTCCTCCTGACGTGTCATTCCGAGGTCAGGGGTGGCCTGACGCTAGTCAGGATGCCAAGGCAGCCCCCTTGCCCCATCTCATCAAGAGGCATTTTATTATCTCACATCAACAAAGAAGGGTGAGTGCAGCACAGGAAGGTATTCTGAGAGACAGAGACCCATTCACCTATTATTACATTATATGGTTGTAATTGTCCTATTTTATTATTAGTTATTGTTAATCCTCTACTTTGCCTAATTTAGAAATTAAACTTTATCATATGTGTGTATGGATAGGAAAAAATGGAGTAATAGGGTTTGGTTCTTACCAGGGTTTCAGGCACTGGAGGTCTTGGAACAAATCCCCCATAGATAAAGGGGGGGACTGCTGTATTTGCCTGAGAAGATCAGATATGTCTTTTTAGTTGATGAATTGTCATCTGTGACTTCCAAGTTGGTGAAGTGGTGCGATGGTTAAGAGTAATTAATTAAGGCTGAGAGTAATTATGGTCATCGAATCCCAGCTCTTATGTTGATCAAGCATCAGAATGAATCCTCCACCTTAATTATGTCCTCATTACAAGGATAAGAGCCTTCTTTCACATTGTCTGGTTTAAAGGAACAAGATTATTTAACTAGAGAAAGA